TTCAGGGTCTGTGCTTGGGGCCTACAGTCTAGAGTCTATAGAGGGGTTTTGCAAGCAGGGTTACAAATAGATGTACAAACGTAGCTACCACTACGTACCCAGAGAGCCCAATACCCCTTAATTAAGGAATATAGCTTAAATCATAATATGAAGCCCTATATAATTTAAGCCATATTCCTTAATTAAGGGGTGTTGGGCTCTCTGGGTATGCCATTTCTTCTATTCCCAGTTTCGGTGCTTAGAACCCTACTTGCTAAGTCCCCGCCCTGAGCCTCTAAGTAGGCGTGACATGAGGGATTCTGGGGCGTGTGCAGAGCGTTCCTTGGAGATGATGGTGAGTGTGTATATGCGCGGTGTCACTCCACGCCTGCGCAACACAGGAAATGCTTCTGAATGTAGAGTCTACAGGCTACAGGGATGAACATGTGGGTTTACGGTTTGATCTAGGATCTGCAGTCTTTTCGGATGCATTCGCGAACAGTTTATACTGAAAGGCGAGCCCTGATACTCCTGAGCTTGGAACTGAATCCCCCAAAATCCATAAATCTGCAAACCCCTTGGACCCCCAACTGACGAAAGTTTGAAGGTACTCCCTTCCCAGCAGTCATAAGCTAGGAGCCCATACTGTTTATAGTTGGGGTGTGTGGAGCTTACAGTGCTCTTTAGGCTTTCTGATGTTCGGCGTCTTATGGGTTTAGGGCTTAGTGTTTAGTGTTTAGTTTAGGGTGTAGGGTTTAGTGTTTAATTTAGGGTTTAGGAGTGACCATGCAAACGAAGGACAGCCAACTCTCAAACTTCAACCGTAAAGACACATAAGAAACCCCACAGGCAACCTTAAGGATAACACAAACACCCAGGAACTCTTGCACATCCAGACCCCCGTTTTCTGCATGCCTGGGTCGGGCTGCAGGCGGGTTTTGTGGAGCTGACTGGTCCATAGGTTCCCTGGACCCTAGACTTTGGTAGAAGCCCAAAAGTTGGAAACCCCATCGCCTCAATCCTTAAGAGTAAAGTATTAGGCAATCCCAGCTCTATTTGGCCTTAATCCGGTTTCCAACTTTATGGGGCTTACTGTAGATCCAAGACGAGACCCTCGACCCTACACCCTAAACAACCTCAGTCCCCCTACACAACCCCTTCAACAACATTATGGTAGTTAGTGTTCTTTCGGGTTTTCAAGCAGCAAGCGCTTCGTGTTCTGGGAGGGTCCGAAAGCATGTTAACCAGGCTTCCCTATAGGGCTATATGATAAGGGTTTCAGCCAAAAGTTGTAACGATTCTATGAGGTCCTCTATAGGGCCTATTAGGCTGTCTTACCCTAACTCCAAATAGCCCTAAGTAGGTACTATTTGTAGACTTTAGACCCCAAAGTAGGTACTATTTGTATACTCGGAGTCTTAGGGTTATGGTATAGCCATAGCGGTGTATCCGCCACGACGCTGGCGCGGCGTGAAGCTGCCCTCTCACACGAACAACGCGTTGCTGAAGGACCTGCAGCCGAAGGAACCTTAAGCCCCTGAGCCCGACGCCCGAAAATCAGGGGTACCTTATTTTAGGTGTCCTTCTATAATAAGGGTCCTACTATTTAGGGTACTATATTAGGGTCCCCTATTTTGTAAAAACCCAAGAACTCTAAACCCTAGGGATCCAAATAGCCCACAAGCCTTATATAGTATCGTCTTTGGGCCCAAAAGCCTTAATATATGAGTCCTTAGATCACTACGGAAACACCCCACCCCAAACCCTAAAACCCTAAACACCCTAAACTTTAGACCCTAAACCCCAAACCCTGAAACTCTAAACACCCTAAAAACCCTAAAACCCTGAAGCCCTAGAGAGGCGAAAAAAGAGAGGAGCCTAGAGAAGATGGTATTCAGTATATTGTACATAGGGTTTAGGGTTTAAAGTAGGGTGCTGATGATATAAATCCTGCATTACCTTAAAGGCCCTAAACTACGGGAATTATGGTATATTCCTTATTATGGGTAATGCAGGATTCATATGATCAATCGTAGTATAGTACAGTATGGTATCGAATGGTATAGAACGGTATAGTTTTTATTAGGGAGCTGTACTTATTGGGTTTAGGGTTTTGCTTCGTGGACTCTGCTCAATCAGCAGGAGAGCGAGCAGAGACAGTCGCATGCGAGTTTAAAAATCACAGATCCCTAGTATAGACCATAGATAGTGGGATCCCTACTACTGCAAGAACCCCTAGAAAACAGTTTTGCAACCCCACGTGTTGGAAACCTCGGCTTGGCCTTGGCGGGCCCAAGAGCCTCGTGCGATAAGTCGCTAGAGAAATCAACCCCTCAGCCCCCAAAGCCTGAACCTCTAATCCTGAGCCCCTAATTCCCGCCCTCTCTAAAAATGCCACTTGCAGGTTCAGGGTTTTGGGCAGCCCTTCAACCTCAACCACCCCTGTAAGCCGCTGTCGGGACTTGCAGTTTAGGGAAAGTCTTGGAGGATTTCATCGATCAGCTAAGCAGAGCCACAGACGCCACCCAGGCGTTCTACATCTCAGTCCTCCGCCTCTCCGCGCACATGGAAAAACACTGCAATCCCGGGACCCTGGTAACCGAAACAGACGACGAAGCGGGGCTTTAATGCGAGAATATCGAAGATTCAGGGTTTGGTTTTTAGGGGTCTTGGGTTTGGGGTTTAGGGTTTAGGGGTTTTGGGTTTAGGGGCTTAGCTTCTCACAAAGCCGGCGGTAGAGCAAGCACGAACACCTTTTTCCCCTGGGACGCCATCACCCCTATCCCTCAGGCTCCATCATATAGTATATACTTAGGCCTTAAAGTACCATTATAGGGACCCCTTTAAGGCTTAAGTATCTACTACAAAGATACCATGGACCCTTATTTCCTAAACCCCCAGAGAACCCGCTAAAGGAATCCCTTAAAGGAACCCCTTAAAGGAACCCTTTAAAGGAACCCTATAAAGGTACATGGAGCCTTCGGGTATATTAAAGATACAGACAGACATCATCTTTCACGGATGTCATGGCATACCCAGAGATCCTAGGCTTCGATAATCAAGGATACCTTAGAGGGTTTAGGGTTTAGGGTTTTGGGGTTAAGGGTTTAGGGGGTTTAGGGTTTAGGGCTTTGGGGGTTTAGGGCTACCTTAAGCCGGAATAACCTACCTTTTTAAGGACTTATATAAGGAAACCATAGTGAGGAACCCTAAAAAGGTAGGTTAGTCCGGCTTAAGGGAGGGTTTAAGGGTTTAGGGGTTTAGGGTCAAAAGTTAGCGTTCAGAGTGACTAAGAAAGACACAGGGCTTCTTCCTAGATCCCCTGATTGAGGATCAGACCAAAAGAACTGTATAAGGCAGCATAGGACTCCTTGCTTTTACTAGGCTGTTCAGTACCCCACTGGGAAAAAGTATATACTTTTTTAGGCTTATTATTTTAAGCTAGGAACCCAGAAACCTGAAAGTAAACAAGTGTACCACTGAACAGCCTGGTTTATTAAGGGCTCCGGGTAGACCCCGCAGCTCCGTGACTGTTGAGGGTTCAGGGTGGGGCCCTATACCCTAAGCCACGAAACTTTTCTGGATGTTTGGGATTTAGGGCGTGGCTCCCTACCTATACCATACGATCTCAAACCACTGAAGCCCCCATAAACCCTGAACCCTTTTAAACCAATAACCCCAAACCCTCAAACGCTAAACCCGTAAACCCCTAAACCCTACACCCCCCAAGCTCCTAAACCCCTCAACCCTAAACTCCAAACCCCTTGACCCCTAAAACCTAAACTTGCAACCCCTGAACCCTAAACCCCTAAACCCTGAACCCTAACCCCTAAACCCCTAAAACCCTAACAGCGAAGCCTGGAGCCCTTTGGGTAAAAGCCCTGGGCATGCGCCGGATCCAGCTTCTCTGGGGCTCCCTCCCCCTCGGGCTCCATGTACCCATATAGTATATACTTAGGCCTTAAAGTACCATTATAGGGACCCCTTTAGGGCTTAAGTATCTACTACTACTACATGGAGCCTTTGGGTCCGGTCATTGCAATGACAGCAGCGAACTTGGCAGTCGAATGTAGGGGCCGCAACGTGTACATAATGTTTATGCAAATATGTACATATATATATATATATATATACACACATTATGTGTATATCTATATATGTATATGTATGTGGAGAAAAGTACATATATATATACACATATGTATGATATATGATATATATATATATATATATATACATATGTATATATATATATATATATATATGTATACATATATATATATATATATATATATGTATATATACATATATATATGTATATATGTACATGTAGATGTATATGTACATAGGGAGGGAGAGAGAGAGAGAGAGAGAGAGAGAGAGAGAGAGAGAGAGAGAGAGAGAGATCAAGATCGATCGAATCATGTAGATATAGTTTGGGAGTTTTGCGCGCATTATCACACACGTGTACACGGACTATATAAGGGGGGGCATTCTTGCAAAGAGTATCGAAACCTCTCGACTGCCGGTTTAAGGCTTGTGGCTTCGCAAGTTTCGCTGCTGTGGGAATCACCGTAGCTGTGTCTGGGCGCGTCTGGTATGGATATACCAGCCCGGAGACTCCAACCCATTAAAGAATACCTTAAACTACCATAAGCTACTTGTTGTAGGTTCTGATTATAAACCCTAATACGGGATTTATAGGTACCCTACGAAAAAGTAGGCGTTGGTGGGTTAAGGTATAACGGCATAACTTATGTAGGTTTCAGGGTTAAAGGAACAGAACAGAAGTGAAGATACATGCTGTAAGATCGGGGTTTAAGGGCTATATAGAGGAAAAACAGGAACCCTGATATAGGTTAAGGATGTTTAGGATATATTCCTGACCTCAAGGGGCGTTGGAGTCTCTGGGAATATGAATTCGTTTCAAATCGCTGGTCGTGCCACTCACCTGGGCTCCATTGGCAAAGGACCAGACATCTGAATTGTAAAACAAACTGGACATCGCACCATGAAGACCCTCAGCCGATCCATCGAGGGCCCGATGTGAATCGGCTGGGTGTAGACTCCGGACACCTGCTGAAGGCTTTTCTCTACAGGCTCGACGGGTTTTGGCCTGATATGGGAGTTTCCAAAAATTAGGGGTACATTATTTAGGGGTCCTTATAATAAGGATCCTACTATTTAGGGTACTATATTAGGGTACCCTATTTTTGGAAACTCCCATATGTAATTATCCTGATCCGGGGTCTTCTGGGTTGACAAGAGGAATTCTAGACCCCAAACCTTGACGATACCGTACAGTAAGGTTTCACCCTCAAAACCCTTGCACCCCCATCCCCAGACCCCCAAACACTAAACAATACCCCCACCCACACTCCCAGGAAACCTCCACTAAGGGCTCTATTGAAGGGCCTTTGGGGGGTCCTGGTAAACCCTTAACCCTAAACACCTAAAGCCCTAAGCCACATAGAACCCTAAACTTCTCAGCCCTTCTCAGCCCAGAGTGCAGCGAGTTGAAGACCCCCCCCCGAATTACCCCAATTACCCTCTAATATACTCCCAAAACTCCCAAAACCCACAAAAAAACATAAACCCCTAAACTCCTAAGGCCCCTAAACGCTTGAAAACTCTCAGCCCAAGGTGCAGAAGCAGTATACTTAAAACCCAAAACCCCAAAACCCTAAAACCCCTAAACCTCTCAGAATTCTTAGCCCAAGGTGCAGAGAGTTGAAGAGAGAGCTCTAAACCCTAAAACCAAAGCCCTAAAACCCCTCAACCCCAAACCCATAAGGAGCTGAATCCTAAACCAAACTCTCAGCCCAGGGTGCAGAGAGTTGAAGAGAGAGCCCCTTCAACGCTTCAAAACTCTCGGCCCAAGGTGCAGAGAGTTGAAGAGAGAGCTCGTGGAGGCCCAGCCGCGGCTCGAGAGCATCTGCGCCCCGCGGAGCGGCCGCGAGCGCTGCCAGGAGCTGGGTGCCTTTTAGGGCTTTTGGGGGGTTAAGGCTTGGAGTTATAAGGGGTTTAGGGTTCATAAGGTTTAGGGCTTTTCGGGTTTGGGGTTTAAGATTTAGGGTTACAGTCTAGGGGGATTTCGGTTTCAGGCTTCAGGGCTTTTGGAGGTTACCCTAAGGCTCCAGTAGTTCCTTTTTGGGGTTCATCGTTAGAATCCTAGAAGGTAAGCCCGCAAAGGAACTACTATGGAGTTTAGGGTTACAGGGGAGTGGGTTTAAGGGTTTAGGGGTTTTAGGCGCTTCAAGGGATTAGGTTGGGTACGGCCCCCACTCAATAATAGTTGAGTAATATTCATAATATAGATATAGTAGGACCTTACTAGTAGCCCTATTATAGACTCTTACTGTATGGGGGCCGTACCTAAGTTTAGGGTTATAGGGTTCAGGGGTTTGGGTTTAGGTTTAGGGGTTTAGGGCATCGGGCTCAGGGGAAAAGGGCTTATAGGATTTAGGGTTCAGGGTTTAAGATTTAGGGTTGCAGTCTAGGGAGATGCTTGGACAGTTTAGGGTTTAGGGTGGTGCCTTCAGGGCTCATAGCTCTATAGCAGCGGTTTGCATCGAAGGTCTTCAGTTTGGGCGCATGAGGTGCAAGTCTGTCGGGGCATATACTGTAAGAAGGGCTGTTTGAAGGATTCTATGAGCGCTTGAGGGCGATATGGGGCTATCACGGCTCAGGGCTTACAGGGCGCGGTGCAGGGCTGTGTAGGGTTTCATGGGGTTGGAACCAGGATTTGGAATTCTAGATGCAACAAGCAAAACTAGTGCTAAAGCTGGTACCCAAAACACTAAAGTTTAAAACCGCAAAACGCTAAACCCTCAACCCTAAACTCCTAAACCCCAAAACCCCTGAAAAGGTCTACCTTACCTTTGGTTAGTAGGGAAAGGAAGAATGGTAGTAATACTAGTTATAATTGTACCCGCATTCCTCCATTCGCTACTAACCAGAGGTAAGTTAGGGGTTTAGGAACTGGTAGCACCCCCCCCCCTAAATCGAAAAACCTCTGAAAAGGCCTAAACCCTAAACCCCCAACACCCCTAAACCCTATAAACCCTAAACCCCTAACACCCCTAAACCCTAAACCCTAAACCCCTAAAACCCTAAAACCCCTAAACGTGCCAGCCGAACCTCCTGCTCACGAAGCGCAGAAGGTCTCTCCACCCGCCTAGGTTGTGCTTAAACCCTTTGAAAATTATTTCTGAATAGGTTCCCTTTATAAGGAAATAAGGGAAATAAAAAATTATCCCAAAGCACAACCCAGCCGCTCTTGCAAGCGAGGGCGGAAGTCGGGAGCTGGGCCTTCGCCTTCCTGAAAGCGCCTCTTCCTTGCGGTTTAGAGCCGGGTTTAGGGTTTAGGGTTTAGGGTTAGGGTTTAGGGTTTAGGGCCACTTGTTGGGTATCATGGGGAACTAAAGGTTAACCTTTTTTTGGCTATATAGGGGTTATATAGGGACTATACTACCCAAAAAAGGGTAAAAGGTTGCCCATTAACTTACTAAAAGCCACTTTTTGGTAGGGTCCCTATAAATTCCATATTAGGGTTTATATTAATAACCGACAGAATGTCGAGCTTGGTAGGTTAAGGTAGGGTTTAGGGGTTAGGGGCTCAGGGGTTAGGGGTTTAGGAGTTTAGGGGAATCTCAAGTTGCCTTTCAAACTTTTGAGGTTGCTAGAAGAGCTTCAAAAGTGGTCCTATAAGTGGATTCATAATTTCAGAGTTTGGGTTTCCGGGTTGCAAACCTCTAACCTCACGGAAAAGGTGATGACCCCATAGCTAGTGCATACTGTCCCTGGAGTGGAATGCATATGGTTTTGATCCACCCCAAAGCTTTCTCAAGAGCAGTCGTAGCATCTGCGGCAAAGATGAGAAGGCCGGCTGCCTTGGCACCTGAGTTCTGAGGCTCTGGAACATTACAGTACAAGCCAGAAAGTTGGAACATGCTTTACGAGGATTCGTGCTAGGACCCCTTATACTTTACCTTATTAAGTGCATGCGGATAATGATGTTCCAACTTTCTGGCTTCTAGTGTATACCAGGCTACCGTACGAGGGAAGTTTATTCGCACCCCTTTCCCCCCTAGCATTCTAGTAAAAGAAACCCCGTAACGTGCGAACAGCCCTGATATGACCCTATCGTTATAAAAAGCCATTCCCACCTATAGCCTCCATTGTAGTTCTTTTTGGCTAACCATAAACTATGCTCTAGGATCCTAACCAAAAACATTGTTAACCAAAAGAAGGAACTACAATCGAGACTACAGGTAAACCCTAAACCCAAGTCCTTTGACGCACAAAAGCCAAGAAGCAGCTTCTTCTGAGTGGCGCGGCCGCTGTGAGGCCTCGCCTGGGTCTACCGCTAAGGTTTTTATTTTTCAAGTTACCACAGTACCCATACTATATATGAACCACAAAAAGGAACTACTTTGGGGCCTATGGGTAAGGGTTACGGTTTACGGTTGAAGTTACCACAGCAGGGTTTGGGGTCTAGGGCTTGAAATGCCAGCATCGGGATCTACTAAAAACCATGGTAAATAATCAGGATCTATAGTGCGTAGCAGTGCCTCATAGGGACCTACGGTGAAAAAATTGGTGCTCCATGGTAATTCAGTAGTTGTAAACAGTATGGCTTGCTTATCATTGTAACTTAAACTCCTTAGCTCCTAAACCCCAAACTAAACCCTAAACCCTAAACCCAAAACTAAACCCTAAACCCGAAACCCAAAACTAAACCCTAAACTCGAAACCCCAAACTGAACCCTAAACCCGAAACCCCAAACTAACCCCAAACCCGAAACCAAAAACTAAACCCTGAACCCGAAACCCGAAACCCCAAACTAAACCCCGTATAACAAGAACCCAGTCGCGCCAATCCTCGTGCTCAATCCAACTCGGGGCTCGACGGCTCGGGAGACTTCTGATGGTCTCCTCGGCATTGTATTGGGTTTTAGGGTTTTAGGGCTTTTGGGTTTAAGGAGTTTTCGGGTTTTAGAGTTTTAGGGGCTTTAGGGTTTTAGGGGTTCTAGCGGATTCTAGCGTTTATTGGTTTAGGGTTTTGGGGTTCTAGGGTTTAGGGTTTTAGGGCTTAGGCTCGGCTTATTAAGGCTTAGGAAATATACGGTTTAGAGTAGCTCCATGGCCACACCCCCTCCTCGTCTCCTCCCCCTCCCGAAACCACAAGAAAATGGATGCCGCTGTACGGCCACCTAAAGCAAAAATATAGATCTAGGATTGCCACCTAAGCTCCTGCTCTCTGCGCGGCCACTCCTGTTCTTGCCGATGCTTCGAAGGGTTGTAGTAGGAAGCTTGCTGTGGAGTCCATAACCTGAGTCGACGATTTCTCGGCACACACAAGCTTTTGAAAGCACCAAAACGTCAGTTCAATATGTAGAGGTTATAGTACGTTGTTGTTATGACACACAAAAAACAACTTAAAGATTTATTTTGTAGTCAGTTCAATATATAGAGGTTATGTTACGTTGTTGTTACACACGCAAAAAAACGACTTAAAGCTTTAGTAGTTCACCGGCTAAGTGACTCTTTCGACTCCTTCACCTCGGTGAAGGGCGTGTCGAGGCTCCGGCGAACGGACCTTTGCTTGGCCCTGGCGGGTGCCAAGATTCCTGGGCTTTGACAGACCCACAAACAGTTTAGGGTTTAGGTTTTCTTGGTTTACGGAACAGGTCCCCGAAACAAAAAGCAGTAAAGTGCCCTGAACACTGAACGCTAAACCCCTAAACCCCTAAACCAAGAACCCAGATTCTGTCGGGAGGAGTCATCGGCTCTTCTGCCTCCCTAGAGCGCGCGGCGGCGGTTTGGGGCTGCATGGGAGTCCGTAGCTCCTCGGTTTTAAGCTTTTTTGAAGGTTTTTAGGGTTTTAGGGTTTTGGTGTCTTTGGGTTTAGGGGTTTTAAGGTTTTAGGGGTTTAGTTTTTTTTTTTTTTTAGACGCCCCTTTTCCGTCTGGCAAGCATTCCGAAAGCGGATTCCCGCTGGGGGTGTATAGCATCCCTTGGACAGCAGACTCGAACACTCAATCATGCGTATACCCAAAACAGAAGATATCAGTACAACACTACACCAAGCAAACACACGTGCTGTCAAGGTCTCCGGAAAATGCAGCACTACACCACTCGAAGCAGTTGCGAGCACTCAGCTTCAGCAGGGTTTTAGGGCTTAGGCTCACCTGTTTAGGGCTTAGGAAATGTACGGTCTAGAGCAGCTCCTCTTCCTCCTCCCAGGTGTCTGGGCCTCTTCTGGGATGCTGCGGCTCCTCCGAAGCTCTTGAAAGGTACCCTAAACCCTAAACCTTTTCAATCCTAAATCCTCAACCCTAACTCGTAAATCCTAAATCCTAAACCCTTAACCCCAAATCCTAAACCCTAAATCCTAAACCCTAAACCCTAAATCCGGAATCCTAAACCCTAAATCCTAAACCCTTAACCGACCCTATATCCTAAATCCTAAACTATACTGAGCTTAGAACCCTAGCAAAAATTATAGTTTTAGCTGTTTCTTAGGGATTATAATAAACAAAACTTAAAAATCATTTCTAAGCACCCCCTAAATCCTAAACCCTAAACCCTAACCCTAAACCCCAAATCCTAAATCCGAAATCCTAAACCCTAAATCCTAAACCCTAAACCCTAAATCCCAAATCCTAAACCCTGGACCCCGGTGCTCCTTGGGCCTCCACTGTTGGCATTTCTCGGAGTCCCTGGCGGCCGCAATGAAATCCGGGAGGCCCCGCTGCGAGAAGCCGGAGCCACCATCAACACCTGCGGCTTAGGGATTATAGGGGTTTAGCTAGGGTTTAGGGTTTAGGGGGTTTCGGGTTTAGGGGTTTAGGGTTTAGGGGGTTTGGGGTTTAGGGGGTTTAAGGTTTAGGGGTTTAGGATTTAGGGTTTAGGGGGTTTAAGGTTTAGAGGTTTAGGATTTAGGGTTTAGGGGGTTTGGGATTTAGGGGTTTAGGGTGTTTAGGGTTTAGGGGGTTTAGGGTTTAGGGGGTTTAGGGTTTAGGGGTTTAGCGTTTAGGGGGTTTAGGGTTTAGGGGTTTAGGGTTTAGGGTGCGGCTTAAACAGAGGCTCCACAGCTTTGAATGTAGGGGTTTAGGGCTTCCTGTTCCCTAAACCCTAATCCCCAAAGGCTCCAAGTATCACTATGGTATGTACTTACAGGGTATTTGGGGGGTTTAAGTATATAACCCTAACGATACTTGGACCCTTTGGGAAAGTCGGGGGTTTAGGGTTTGGGGTAGTATTGCTGCTGGCTTCATGAGAAAGGGCAGAATCCCAAACAAGAAGAGTTCAATGCAAAGGTGTCGGTACAGCAGACAAAGCGTGAAACCCAGAGCCTTAAACCTGAATCCCAAGCCCTGCAACCCAAGATGAAATGCAATCCTAAAGCCTCTAACCCTCAACCTTCAGAAAGCTAAACACTTACCACAAAACCTCAAACCTACCGCGAAATAGCCGACCCCGGAAGCACATTTTAAAGCGCCCGGAACACCCAAAACAACGAAACAACCAAGCTACGTGTAGCCGCGCCCGGAATCGTATAGTTTCATGTTCTGTGGCTTCCTCTCATGATGTCCTTGTATATCCCGAAGGGTCCAAGTACCATTATGGTATATACTTAGACCCCCCCGCCAAATACTCTCTATATATATATATATATATATATATATATATATATTTATATACCATAATGCTACTGTATTAATAGCCGCAAAAGGCAGCCTTTTTTGGAGGGCTTCGTGTACCTAAACCATAAACTCTCTAAGTCTCACGCAAAGCCTGTATCCGTGACACTTTCCCAAAGAGCCCCAGGTACTGTTATGGGGGATACTTCCTAAGATCCGAGAATGGTGTACATACCAAGAAGGAGCCAGCTTCAACAGATGCCTGCGGATTTCTGGAGCTTCGCTTGAATGGCTGCCTGCGTGAAGGTCACAGTCAGCAGCGGGCTTACGGGAAAGCTTGAAGGCTTCATGGGTCTTAAGCCCTGGGCTTTGAAGTACGAGTAACCAGGGAGACAAAAGTGGAAACGGTTATTTCATAATGGTTCCCTTTAAGTGACAGGCCCCCCAACAAAGTATTAAAGTTTGGTACTTCCAAGCCCAGAACCCTACCTGAAACAACCACAACCTAATTACTTTTTGTGTTCTTTCTAGAAGCCCCGATATGGATTTCATAGGGACCCTACAAGAAGGTAGGTTTTGGTAGGTTAAGGTAAGCCCTACACAATTCAAGGCAACTGTATGAGTGATGATCGAGCTTGCGGTCTAGCGATTTGGCTGTTCAGGCCATGAGGGTTCCCAGCTCTACTTGGAGGTTCATGGGTAGTTATAAGTGGGCTTATATTTAGGGTAACTATGGCTATAACCCCTATTAGAGGACTTATAACCCCATTTATAGCTACCCATGAAACTCCAAGCAAGCCCTAAACCCGAACTGTGGTTCTACGGTTCTAGGCATCCCGATGTTGATTGCTAGCTTTGGGGAAACACCGACCCAACCGGCCGAGGGTTTAGGGCACAATTACGAAGTCTCGATTTCAGCAGTCCCCATAGTTATATTCAGCAATGAGGGACCAGCTTTGTGCAATGAGTTGGCCTGCTGCAACCCTAAACCCCTAAATCCGAAACCCTGATCCCTAAATCCTAAACCCTAAACCCCTAAATCCGAAACCGAAATCCCTAAATCCTAAACCCTAGACCCTCATCTCAAGGCCTGCAACTCCTCCATCACAGCCGCCGGCAGTTGAAGACCTGTCGAGGGCTCTTGAGTAGAAAAGGCTAGAGTCGGCTAGAGTCTCTACCTATAGTCTTGATTGTAGTTCCTTTTGTTTGGGGTTTAACCAAATATATATATATATATATATATATAATTAGGATCCTACAAGGTAACCCCAAAAAAGGACCTACAATGGAGACTATAGGTAGGTCTTCGGCGGTGAAGGTTCAGTATCGTTTCGGATCTGTGTTTAACGGGTTGAGGGTCAAGGGTTCAGAACGTCAGCTTGAGTAATCGCTTGGCTTGCCTTGCTTTCGGTAGTACAGGATCCAAATCATGAAGTTGGTTGACCATATAGAAGACTCGGTACGTGCCAATAGTAATAGTATAAAAGCCATGCCCTGAAACCCTGATCTGCGCATTACCCTTACATTGCGCACAGAGTTGAAGATTCTGTTCGGTGTTGGGTGCCTGCTTTCGCGGCTTGGGCGGGGATCAGGGTGTATGGTACACAGGGGGAATGCCATAAGAAGAGCAATGAATAATAATGTATGCAGCAATCCGGACTTCAGGGGTCCTCCATTCGAGGGTGTTGTTAGATCACAGCGCCATTGACAGTGCAATGTAAGGGCCTTAATAATTAGAAGAGGGTTTTGGTATATACTATGCTATAAATTTAACAAGGAACCCCCACAATAGCATAAGCAATTATCAAGGCCTCTATAGTAAGTGTGACCTCATCCCTAAAGTATCTTAAGACCAATGAAAGACACGAACTGTGCGTTCAACGAAGCCCTGACCGCTCCACACCAAGATCTGGAGTGGAGGGTTAGTGCTAAGGCCCTAAACTCATTGACACATTTCAAAGTTTTAGGCTTTGACCAACAGTAAAAAAAGAAAGCAGACGGCAACAACGACACAACTTGTGCCACAGGAAAGAACGACTCGGCGCCGCACCAGCCGCTTCAGCAAGCGCCCGGGCGCCACGCTTCCAGACTGCCCCTGCAGCCTGGCCCGGGGTCTTTAGGGTATAGGGGTTTAGGGTTTAGGGGCTTAGGGTTTAGGGTTTAGGGGTTTAGGGGTTTGGGGTTTAGGGGTTTAGGGGTTTAGGGTTTGGGGGCTTTGGGTTTAGGGTTTAGGGGTTTAGGGTTTGGGGGTTTAGGGTTTAGGGGTTTAGGGTTTGGGGGCTTAGGGTTTAGGGTTTAGGGGTTTAGGGGTTTAGGGTTTGGGGGCTTAGGGTTTAGGGTTTTAGGGGTTAGGGTTTGGGGGCGTTGGGTTTAGGGTTTAGGGGTTTAGGGTTTGCGGGCTTTGGGTTTAGGGTTTAGGGGTTTAGGGTTTAGGGGCTTAGGGTTTAGGGTTTAGGGGTTTAGGTTTAGGGTTTAGGGGTTTAGGGTTTGGGGGCTTAGGGTTTAGGGTTTAGGGGTTTAGGGTTTGGGGGCTTAGGGTTTAGGGTTTAGGGGCTTAGGGTTTAGGGTATATCAACTGGGCACTGCCCCCATACAGGAAGCCTACAAGAAGACTACTACTTAATGGCCTTGTATACATGCCTTATTAGTCGAATGCAACTGTTAATCACTGAGTGGGGGGCAGAATCCAATCTATAAAGGCTTCGATGTGGTTTTCTGGATTTGTGCACTGGATGAGTGTTCAGGCTGACATTTTCGGTGAGGACAACGATGAATTCAAGCCTATGCTAGGCATATCTTTGCGTTGCAACTACCGTCGAAAATGAGCAGATAAGCCGTATGTACTAAACGCGTACATCTGTACTCAGTAACCGTTATAGTCGGTTCACAGGAGCTCTGCCTCTCATTGGCCCTTGACGTGCTTCCTTTGAGACAAACCTTTGCCACTCTCGTATCTGCGAAACAAACCCTGAAACACCCTCGTCATAAAGTCTTAAAGCCAAGTCCCTGATCTTGAATTCCTACCCTAAGGCTCCATAGTAGTTCCTTTTTAATTTTTGGGGTTCCTATTTAGAATCCTATAAGGTAATACCGAAAAGGAACTACTATGGGGGCCTCTGGGTAAACCCTAGCTCCGAATGAACCCCTAAACTCGGAAATAAATGCCCTTCGAGCCTCTCACCTGGACCCCAAAGCTCACCGCCGCACCCCTCAGCACTAAACCCTCAACCTTTAACCCTAAACCCATGAGCCCTAAAGGCCTTCATTTAGAGCATCCTCCCACTATATATGAACCCTCTCGAAAAGCTACAAAACCTGAACCCCCTGAGCCTCAAACCAAAGCCTCAAACCCCAAAGCGTAAGCTCTATACATCCGAAGCCATTAAAGCCCAGAACCAAAACATTACCTTGAGGCTCCATTGTATTTCCTTGTGGGGATTCATATTTAGAATCCTATAGGGTACTCCCAAAAAGGAACTACTATGTAGCCTCTGGGTATACTCAAAAAGCCTAGATGCCTAAAGAACTCTTACGGCACCCTTAAAGCAAACCGTCGAAGCGCCACAAACCCACAGAGGTCTCTTGCTGCCTCAGCAAGCGCCACGTTGAGACCGGGCAAGGACGCTACGAAGCTCAGCTCGTCATCTTCGCTCTCCTCGGGCTTAGAGGTTTGCCTACAGTCTCCAGTGTAGTTCCATTTTTGGGTTAAGCAGTTTTATGGCTAGGATCCTATAATAGAGATTTTGGGCAACCAAACAAAGGAACTACAATGGAGACTGTAGGTAATATCGGGGCCTTCATAAGTAGAATAGGGTTTTGAGGCCCAGTACAGTATATTTATAGTAAGGAACCCTCAAGATAGTATTGGGAATTAAGTAGGCCCCTATATTAGGGCTTCGGGTCTATAGAGGTTTGTGTTTCGGGTCTGGGGGTGTAGCGTTTCATGTTCAGGGGTTCAGGGTTCGGGTTTTAGGGCTATGGCTCTCTATTTTAAATTACTGAGCAAGAGCTCTTTAAAGAGGTTTGAAGCGATCTGCACGGGTGCGTAAGAGACTCAAAAGATCCGCCAGGCTTCTATCAGGGTTCTTTACAGGGATCTTCAGAGGTTTGTTGATTTTTCATGGGAGCCCAAAAAAATTCCTCACGGGTTACACGGAAAAGCCTTAGAGCCTTCAAACTTCTTTGAGGGGATCAAGGAGGTTCTCGTAAGTCTGCACACGGCCGAGTGCAGGCTTATGCAAAGGGTTCCAGAAGGGTTTCTTGCACTCGAAGGATCGAAGAGGCTTCTATGAGGTCCTTCATGGGTTCATTCAGGCCTTGAAGACCCCTGAAAGGAACCCGTATAGATCCCTTAAAGGAGCCCTTAAAGATCCCTTGAAGGCTTTTGGGCTAAGTATCGGGTTCAGAGGTGTCGGACTTCTGTCTTCGGGGATGTCAGCGCTTCAGGGCTTTTGGGAGGTTGGGGGCTTTCGAAGGCTCGAGGGCCCAAAGAACCTACCGTTTTGAACGGCCTATGTAAGGAATCATAGGAAGGAGCCCTAAAAAGGAAGGATGTATAGGGTCAAGGTAGGGCATACTGGGGATGTAGGATTTCAAGGTCCAAGGTCCTGTGGTTCAAGCCTCTTGTTGCCAGCACTCCTACGGTTGATGATACAAATCCTGCATTACCTTAAGGACCCTAAACTATGGGAATTATGGTATATTCCTTATTATGGGTAATGCAGGATTTATATCATCAACCGTACCTCTTGAGAGGGTTTGGCTTTAAGGTGTTTGTTAGAGGCAGCTTTTCAGTTTCGGTGTTTCAGGGATTACCCTAGGGCTCCGTAGTAGTTCCTTTTTAGGATTACCTTATAGGATTCTGAAAATATGAACCGCCAAAAGGAACTATTATGGAGCCTCAGGGTACATGTAAGGTTTCGGGGACCTCCTGTCCTGCAACACCCGCCCCCCTCCCCACTCCCCCCGCGCCTTGAGCGAGGCGGCCAGAGCTCGCCCTGAATGCATGGCCCTGACTGCCTCCTGGCCAAGGATTTTTGTTTGGGGGCCTGAGTTTTGGATTCGCGTTTAGGGTTCAGGGCGGAGGGTTGAGGATGTGGCCTTTGACTGCCAAAGGTACCCGCTGAATGCACGTACGAAGGGGCCTTGGGTCTTTGAGACAGGGCGATGATTGATCCAAGGTTTGTCCTCGAGGGCTTCAAACCGGCATCTTTTCTGCGATGCACAAAAGAGTGATAACGGTTTATGATAGAAATCCTGCATTACCCATAATAAGGAAAATACCATAATTCCCATAGTATAGGGTCCTTAAGGTAATGCAGGATTTATATCATCAACCGTAACGGCAGACGAAAGCAAAGACCCCAAGAGGGCCCATAAAGCTGAGAGGAGCCCCCATCCTTTGGGTCAGGGCTCAGAGTATGAGGGCTCAAGGAAGAAGTCTGCCCAGTCCTGCAACCATCATAGAAGTCGAGAGACTAATGAACGGGCCTTAATAATAAGACTAGGGTTTTGGGGTGTTTTCTACTATAACTATGATAAGGAGCCGTCAAAGTGGAACAAGCAATTATTTAGTCCCCTAGATCATGGAAGATGAAGATCGGCAGGGCTCGCGTACGATTGAGCAAACACACCCGATATACCCCCAAAGGGGGCATATCGTAAAGAAATGGTACTTAAAGTAGGTACTTAGTACCCTAAAGTATATAATATACGATTGCTTGGACCCTTTGGGCCGTTGCTTCCGGAGAGTCCGTCAAATTATCCCAAACCCTACGACATCCCATTTCGGAGTTCAGTTCTGCGTCTTTCTTCTCCTAAAGCGTTACTGTTACAAGCTCTACCCTAAGGCCCCATAGTAGTTCCTTTTTGGTATAAGGTGATCCCAAAAGGAACTACGATGGGGCCTCTGGGTACAAGCTCCACACTACACCTAAAACGCCAAACCCAGAAACCTGAAACTTCAACCCACGAGACCATAAATGTATAAATATATATATATATATATATATATATAAATGCATATTATATATATATATATATATATACATAGATATTTGTATACCGAAAGATCCGCAGGCAACCAGGCCCCCAACCCCCCAAAATAAATCCCAGAGGCTTAAGGTGCAAAATCCTTCTTCGGTGCATCCCTGCCTGTACAATGAGATTGACAAGGCCCTCCGGGTGAACGAGGCCTGGATCTTGCAAGGGTTGAGGGGCTGGCGGGGGTATGTCATATTACTGCTACAGAAGAAGCCAATCGATGCTCATAACCACTAGTACAAATAATGATCATCGTAACGATGGGGCGATTAGGGTTATTGTTACCAAAACCCAGACCGGGCTGAGCTTAAGGCTAGATCCACCGTTCGGGAACTCGCAGGCAGCGGAAGGCGATGGGGTTTCGCGATTCAGTGTTTGCGGGATTTCTTTAAACAAATACGAAGTTCAGCGGTTTAGACCTTGGTTTTTTTTAGGGGGTCGGGCTTGAGGGCTTTTAGGGTTCAGGGTGCCAAAAATTGAAAATCAGAGTTTGCAAAGGGCACCCATACATAATCTAAACTCCGTCGAGGCTCGGTAAGCCGATTTCTGGCTGAACCGCCAGCAAATGCCTGAAGCCCTGCATCCTGAAACGAAGCAAAACCAGCTACGGGCCCCAACGCCTACTGCCACTCCCAAGAAGAAAAAACATATGCACTATCATACTGACATCTACCAACCTAGACTTAATACTTTCCTGCCCAAGTACCTCAGTTCTTGGCACTCGCACCTTTAAATTTAGGGGTCAATGGGCAAGAGCTGATTCCTAAACCCTAAACCCTAAATCATAATTTTAAACCCTGGGCCCTAAACCCTGAACTCTAAACCCTAAACCCTACCCAATTCAGTCAGGGGGCTCGTTCGCAGGGCCCTTCCGCGGCCGGCCTTTTGTACCGATGCGGCGAACTCCTTCCAGGCAGAGTCCTGAAATCTGGCGCAAAAACGAAAGTTGAGGCTGAGGTTCATATTTTTAAAGGTTAGGGTTAGGGCGTCTTAGGGTTCAGGACTTGCTGTGATGTTGAGGCCAAACCAACCTGACCTCCAAACCCTTACACAATTTCAATTTCATGCAGTTCTTGGAAGCCTTAGAAGCACGGTAAGCACGCAAGAGTGGCACATGAGGCTCTTTGCTTGTTCAAGCCGCCCTTGAGGAGTGAACCCCCCGCGTGCTGAGGGTTTCGGCCTGATTTGCGTATGCCCACATGCATGTGTGCATGCATATGTGTGAACAGATCTGAAGATATCTCTGATATCAATGCTGGTATCTGCCTGTATATATATATATATATGCATATGTATATCTCTCTCTATATATATATATATATATGGATCTTGGGGGGGGGGTGACCATATATATATATATATATATATATATATATATACGTATACCGTATACTGACAGACATATACATACTACATGCGGTCGTGTCTGTAAAAAAAGCCGAAAGGTACCCTGAACCGCAGCGCCATCCTCTCAAATTCTAACCCTCAACTCCGAATCCGTGACACCCAGCCCTGAACCCCCAACTGCCCCCCCCCCCCCCCCCCCACTTTCCGAAATAAGGTACCAAATAAAACATAGCATGATACACCCAACCCCTCTAAAACCAAAAACATCGGCGCGAGCTTTGCTGTCCAGAAAACCAAGTACACCAGCCCCATGGTATGCCAGCATTGTCGTGTCAAGAACCAACAGCAAAGCCCATGTTGAAGCTGAACACTGCGCCGTGAAACGGCAAATCCTCAAAGCCGAAACCCAACAACAACCCTAAACCCTCAAACCAGGCAAACCACCAGCAGGAAACACAAAAAAACAACGCAAAAAAGAGCACGAGCAAGACCTCACTCCGGAAGTCTTAGGTGTCCTGCGGGGCATCAAGCTCGGAAACCTCGAGGATCGGAAGTCGAGTTGAGGATTTCTGGCTTCTTTGCTCTCGGAGTTTGTAAACTTTGGGTAGGGTTTTCGGTTTTTTAGGATGGTCCGTGGCCTCTAAGTGCTCATATGAGGTTTGTAGGCTCCAAACATGAGGCTGCTGTGATCACACAGCCCGAAGCAGAATTGGAGCAAAGCGTTCGGGATGTAGTCAGAGAAGACTCGCAGCCCATGCAGCCTAAACCCCTGACTGCTACATTGGCTCGGACCCTGAAGCTCACATCATCAACTTTCGCCAGTAAACTTCACATGAAGTAGTAGCGCTTTGCTGTCCCCCAGTACACCGCAACATAATCGATACACTCCCCGAAAATCCCCAAATACTAGATCCCAAACCGACCCTTTGTTGACATGTAAAGCAAGCAATCCATATGTTTCCACTCTTCAACATATCCACGGTGCTCTCCAAAAGAAACACCATGAACCCTCACTCTAGGGTACAGGGTGCAGGGCTAGCGCTGGTCGCTGTTTAGGGCTTAAGGGGTTATGGGTTTAGGGCTTAGGCTAAACCTTAAAGCCCAAATCCGAAACCGTAAACCCTAAACCCTAAACCTTAAAACCCTAAAGCCCTAAACCCTAAAACCCTAAAACCCTAAACCCTAAAACCCTAAACCCCGAAAGCCCCAGACCCCCCTAACCAGGGCTCTCTGAAGGCCTCTACGAGTTCCGCGATTGAGGCTTCGGCCCTAGTGTTTAGGGTTAGAGGGGCGCCGTAAAAGAAAAAAAAAGGGCTTTGGGGGGGGGGGAAACGACATATATAATTTAACATATACACATATTGATATGTACATATTTATATATACACACACACTTATATCACACATGATTAAGCGCACAAGAACCTTAGGTGATCGCATGACCAATCGTTCAAGCCAGAGCTATGCAAAGCCTGCAGCGACACGGCGAACCCTCAACGGTTTAGGGTTAGGGTTGTTCAGGGTTAAGGACTCAGGGTTTAAGGTTTAAGGGTAGGGTGATGCCCGTTAAGCTCTAAACCGACCAAACCGAGCAACCATAGCCCCTGAACCCTAAACACTGCACCCTAAAGCCTAAACCCTAAACCCCTGAACCCTAAAGCCTGAACCCAGAGTTCTGAGGACGGCACTAAGATCAAAAGCACCTCGTCGAAGGATGTGAACGATTGCTGCAGCCGCTCCTGGGGCTTTGCTTAGGGTTTAGGGTTTAGGGCTTTAGGGATTTAGGGTTTAAGGGGGTTCAGTTTTACAGTAGTTCGCTTGCCAGCCTCACGAGGGTCGTAGCGTCCGCTCAGAAATTGCTGAATTCAGGTCAGGCCACAAACAAAAGCAGAAATAAACAAAACGGAGTTCAAGGAGGCAGGAAATCCCAAAGGGCTTAGGAGGGATCAGGGTTTTCAGGATGAGGGTTTTAGGAGGGCTTAGGGTTTAGGGTTCAGCGGTTTAGGGCTTGCGGTTCAGACTTTCGGCTTTAGGGCTTACAAGGTTCAGGGTTTGGGGTTTGAAGGATCAGGGTTTAGGTTTTCGGGCTTTTAGGGTTTAGGAGGGTTCAGGGTCTGTAGGGTTTATTGAGGGTTTTGCAGCCCTGGGCCTCTAAACCCCAAACCCTCAACTGCCAGCTCTCACCAAGTCTGCGTCTACTACTCGCGAGGCTACGAGAACACCTTGGAGTTAAGACTTTTACGATTTTCGAGTCTCGGGTTATCCTAAACCCTAAACCTTCAACCCTAAACCTTAACCCTGAGCCCTGAACACTCAACCCTACTTAAGATCCGCAAGATGGATGCCTTGTACTTCAGCATCTCTCAATACGTTTGGAACTGGTAGGATACCCTTCTGGGCCTTCTATTTTCCCGGATCCTTGAGGGTGGGGTGTCGGATTTAGGCTTGAGGATTCAAGTTTACGGGGTTCGGGGTTTGGGATTCTAGAATGCAGTTCCGAGTCTAGCAGGAGAATTCTGGAGTCTAGGGTGGATTACTTGGGGTTTCAGGTCAGCGACAGACACGAGCTCAAGAGTGCACCTAGCGAGAACTCCAAACACCTCGCCTTAGTCAGACCGACCCATGACTCGGCGCTTCAGCCAGAAGTAGTAGACCTAAGCAATCTCGCTTAAAACTACGCCGACATGCCAAGAGAGTGCCCCAAACCCGCAACAAAGCACTCCAAGGGGCACAAAGCTCTTGCTGCTGGCTGGAGATCACATGCAAGCTCCGCAGGAACACTCCTCAGGAGGTTCAGAGCGTTTTCCCGCGCTTAGAGTGGGCTAAACTGAACAGACCGAAACTGCGGCACGAAGCATCTTGTGAATAGGAGGATCCTCTCTCTTGCCATGCATAACACAAATAACAAGGACAAGGTTCCTTCTGGCTTATCCTGTTCCTCTGGCATACGGGAGTTTCCGAAAATAGGGAACCCGAATATTGTATCCTGAACAGGAGGATCCTTATTGTAACGACCCCAAGGTACCCACAGAAGCACTCAAAGAAGAACCACAGGGTAGGGATATCCCGTAGCGCCTGCTTTATCCCACCCGAAAGTGTGCTCTGTCGACGGGATTCTCTACCAAACTCCAGGTCAACACATTTCTGCAGGCAATCGGATCTTTAAAAAATAACCCTGCATAAGTAGAGCCGGAATAGATTTTGAGCGGACTTAAACGGCTTTGATATAGGGGGTTGGATACAATTTGGACAGGCTTTGGGGGAGCAATGAAGAAAGAAGGACGGAACAAATTCGCGAGTGAGTGAGACTAAACAAATAAGCGAGTGAGTGATTGACTGAGTGAAGGAAAGAACGAAAGAATGAACGAACCAATGGATCAAGGAAAGAAATAATGAATGAATGAATCCATGATTGCAACACTGAACGAACGAATGAATGAATCAGTGAATGAGTACATATGTATGTATGTCTGAATGTATATACATATATATATATATATATATGCATATGCATATGCATATGCATATGCATATGCATGTACGTGCGTACGTCCGTGTATGTATGTAGGTCTGCATGTATGTATACGCAAAAGACTACACACAGACATATGTGTATGTACATATGTGGATACATACATGCGTGCGTGCAACCTTGCCTGTCTGTCTGTCTGTCTTTCTGTCCGTCTGCATGTCAGTATGTATGCATGTATGCCTGTATGCGTGTATGTCTGTATGTCTGCGTGTATGTATGTATGTATGTATGTATGTCTACCTGTAGTGGACCTGTACTATGGAAGCTTGTTCCTAATTATGCAGTAACTCACAGCTCTACAAAACCCTAAACCTGCATGGTACAAAACAAAGAGAGTTACAAACTGCATGAAACTATGGTCATAGTCATACGTAGCGACTAACACGGGCGACGAAAACACATTCTTCAGGCATCCACTAAGCCGTAGACCCCATGTAAAGAGATCTCTGGTACCAAAAGCCTACTTGTCGGGAATCATGAGGAACTAAAGGTTAACCTTTTTTGTGGTTATATAGGAATTATATAGGGACTATACTACCCAAAAAAGGTTAATGGTTGCCCACTCTACTTGGAAAGATTCCAAGAGCTAAAGTGGGGGCCTGATCCTCAGACTAGGAATCCCTATGTGGGCGTTTCGAAAATTTTGGGTGCCTTGTTTCGGGGTCCTTAGAATAAGGATCCCACTTTTGGGGGTACTAGATTAGGGCCCCCTATTTTCGGAACCCCCCATGTGGTAGTTGAGCCTGACATGCTTTCAGGGCTGATTTCGTTCTTGAGGAAAGTCGCAGGGGCCAAACCATAAACCCTAAACTAAACTTCAGCGCGAGGCCCTGACACTAGATTGCAATTAACACCCTAAACTCCCTGAGCTTGTAGTAAATAACGGCTGAAAACATACATCCTGCATTACTAACTCATAATAAGGAGCATGCCGTTATTCCCATAGTTTAGGGTCCGTTCGGTAATGCAGGATTTATACCATCAACCCTAAACCCTAACCCCCCTATAGATCCCATAAAGGAGCCCCTTAAAGGTAACCTTATATAGAGATCCCTTTAAAGGAGCCCTCAACAGTAAGGAAACAAAGTCCAAGGAGCCGAACCGAGGGCCCAGGATCAGATCCGGCGCGGTGTCGGCAAGGACCTCGCGCTCGAGAAGGCGGAGGCCCCGTGCCTGTGCCAGGGAGTAGCAGTCGCTAAAGTAAGGTTTGGAACCTACAAAAAAGTCGGGTTTGGTAGTTTAAGGTAGGGTTTAGGATTTAGGGTTTAGGGTTTGGGGTTTGGGATTTCGGGTTTAGGGTTTAGGGTTCAGGGTTTTGGGTTTAAGTTTTTTAAAAGGTTTGGACCTAGGTTTGGGGTTTTGGGTTTACGGTTTAAGGTTTATCAGGGTAATTACCCTATAAAAATACGCTAGAGGGCTTAGACGTAGCTTTAGGGCCCAGGTGAACTCTTACATCTGACACTTGCCGTAACTCTTCCAAGGGTTCCGTGTGATGCAGTTTGACCAGGCCCCAACTAGGCATTAGGCAATCAACACCATCTGTCCGTCAGAATGCCCAAACCAATGACGCTCGAACTGCAATATCAAGATACACAGACCAACGAGATAAATCGAAAATCTGGAGAGCTGAGAAGCTTGCACACCCCGAAGTCTTGACCCTAAAACCCTGTAGCAGAACCATAGACTCCCAAAGCCCAACAACCCGAATAGAACCCTAAACCCCTAAAATCTCTGAGCCCTAAACCCCTAAGCCATAAGCCCTAATAAACCCTAAATCCTGAACTAAAATCTCTGAACCCTCAAGCCCTAGATAGGCCCTGGATCTCTTATAGAACCCTTTAAGGATCCCATATAGCACCCTTTAAGGATCCCTTATAGCACCCTTTAAGCAGAAGAACCCTCAACAGAACCTCTTCAAGCTTACATGGTCCGGCCTCCAGGTCGCGGAGGAGATCTTGCATGCCAAGGAGGTGTGCACCGACAATCCTCGGGCTGGTACTTCGGGTCTACCTTTTGTCTCCTTTGTAGTTCCTTTTATTGGCTGACCAGTTCTATGGTTAGGATCCTGTAATATAGATTTTGGTTGACCAAAAACAGGAACTACAATGGGGACGATAGGCATAACAACTTCCTTCACACGTTACACCCTGCCCACCCTCGGCTACCCGCCTCGGCCTCAAAACAAAGCTTAAAGCTTACAGGATTTAGGATTTAGCGTTTCGGGTCTAAGCTGTTGGCTTTGGGGGCTTGGCCTTTGGGCGGGGCGGGGGATGGCTGAGGTCTTAACTAAGGCTTAGGGTTTGAGGTTTAGCTGAAACTTAAGGTTTACCTATAGTCTCCATTGATTCTCCATTGTAGTTCCTGTTTTGGGCTAACCAGCTTTATAGATTTTGGTCAACCAGAAAAAGGGAACTACGATGGAGACTATAGGTACGGCTGAAGACACCAGGGCAAGGTGCACAGAGGGCCGGCACTCTTCGGCCGCAGCGCTGTACTGCTCGTGCCCCTCTGGGCCTGGCAAACAGGTATTCCGTGGTTTTGGGTTTTTGTTGTTATATTACAGGGTTTCAGGGCTTGTATACGTAGTTTAGGGTTTAGGGCTTATAGACTTATGGGGCTTAGAGAGCGTAAGGGCTGTAAAGGTATGCTAAACGGGATTCGTAAGGTCCTCATAAACGTTCTTCAATCGCTTGACGAAGGCTCGATTTAGTGGGTTTTGGGTTCAAATCTAGAATGTCCAGTTTAGCTAGACCCAGTACCCTCTCATATCCCCCAAGTACCCACTGTTAAGGGCCATAAGAACTCTGTTCAAGGGACCTTTTGGGGGGGGTCCCGCCAACGACGCTGAAACCTAAACCCTGAAGGCCAAACTAGGGCTAGGGAACTTCTAGGATTCCTGTCGCTTGAGGGGTTCACGGTTTAGGATTTAACATCTTGGGTTCAGTGCTCTGAGACTCTGCTGTTTTGGGGTTTAGCTATAGTTTCCATTGTAGTTAACCAGTTTTATGGGTAGGATTCTATAATAGAGATTTTGGCTCACCAAAAAAACCCTAAACCCTAAACCCTAAACCTACAATGGAGACTATAGGTAGCATTGTATAGGGCTTGGAGCCTCGGAGTCCTCGCTTCACAGGCACCCCGTACAGTACAATAGTTAGTTTAGGGTTTAGGGTTTAGGGTTAAGGGTTTAGGGTTAAGTGAGGGTCGGAACATTGCAGCATCTACACACAACCATACCCCAAACATCAGCGTCGAACAACCCCTTCGAAAAAAAACAATACAAAGAAACTAAAAGAGATGCAAGCACCAACCAAATTCTATATAGTGCGAAGCCAAGGACAAAGTGCTACCCCAGACAGTGCATTACACTTCCAAACACCCCAAAGCCCTCTACGGTTGATGATATATATCCTGCACTATCTTAAGGACCCTGAACTATGGGAATCATGGTATTTTCCTTCTTACGGGTCATGCAGGATATATATCATCAACCGTAGGATTTATGGGGCTTCGGCGGTGTTGAGCCTGCGGCTCCGTAGTCTTTGAAACCTTAACTCTTCAGGGTTTAGGGTTTAGGGTTTAGGGACCGGGTTCCAGAAAGTTCAAAGTTTCTAAGATAGAGCTAAAATATAAGGCCAAAAAGTTTAAAGTTCCCCCGTTGACGATCTAAGTTAAACTTGAAGCCCTGCATCCCACTGCGCACCTTCTCACTGGGGGCCCGATACTCTCGCCCTAAAGCCCCCGTAAGATTTTTGAGATTTACTACCATGAGGGAATTGGGCCCCAAAAGACCATCCTCATTATGGCTTTGGGGACCTAGTTCCCCATAGGGTCTAAAGTACCTCTAGTAGAAGCTAGGGCTTCTATATTTGGAATTAGTGTTATGATTTGGGGAAGTATCCCCCACAACAGTACCTGGGACCCTTTGGGTTCCATAATGGTAGTGTCTCTGGGTTCATAAGATGATAGGAGGCCAAAAGGGGGGTTTAAGATTCATGGGGTAGGGATTCCTTAATATGAACCCTATTCTGGGAACCCTAATCCCTACTAAACCCCCATAGGCTAAAACCCCTTTTGGCCTCCTATGATAAGAGCTTAAACCTGACCGGAGGACCTCCCGGAGCGCTGTTCAGCTCCGCCGCGGTCCCTTGGCCACCGCCATTTTCTTCTTCTTCCGGCGCCGGCGCTGGGGCAGGGAAGGGACCTGAGTCGCCGGCTTGCCTCCCAGAGACTCCGATATATCCCATATAATTCAAGAGGTTACCTAATTAAATCATCGTAGGGATCCTACTGTAATTTAAGGTATACACTTCAATATATCCCATATAATTGAGAAAGATACCTTACATCATAGTAGAGATCCTACTTATGTTTAAGGTATATTCCTTAACTAAGGGATATTGGAGTCTCTGGGCTTGAGTATCCATTGTACTTCCCCGTCTCGTTAGCCAGCTCTGTGCTTAAGGATCCTATAAACGGGAGCTACCATTCAGACTGCAGGCGCGTACAGTTCAGGGCTTACGGTTTCGGGTTTAAGACATGGGCAAAATCGAATGGGACACTAAGTCTCAGTAAACGCTCGTGGCAAGTTCCATTGGGTAAAGTGCTTGAGGGGGTCGAGAAACCCTAAACCCCTAAACCCAAAACCCTAAACCCTAAACCCTAAACCCTAACCCCTAAACCCTAAACCCCACCCCTAAAATCCCAACCCGAATGTTAAATCCCACTTCCTCACCGAGACCCACACCCGCGGCCGTGGTTGCCACACCCTCCGCTGTCGAAGGCGCCGCGGGCGCCGGGAGCACTTGGGGCTCCAGGCGGAAATGAACCAAGGACCTCGCAGAGAGGGATAAACTACGGTTGATGATAGAAATCCTGCATTACCCTAAGGATCCTAAACTATGAGAATTATGGTATATTCCTTATTATGGATAATGCAGGATTTGCATCATCAACCGTAGGAGTTTAGGGTTTGAAGGGCTTTAGGGCGTGCAGGGGTTTAGGGTTTAGAGGTTTAGGGTTTACGGTTGGCTTACAGCATATAGGGCTTGGGGCTTAGGGTTTACGAAGGTCATATCTAGTAGGAATGCTGATGCTAGTTTACCCGTAGTTGCTCAGTTTGACACCCCAAACCTCCACTCACCAACATTTCAAAGGAGCCGTGTATACAACCCCTGCTTGAAACTCTATTTCCCAAAGGTGCTCTATACTTGCAAAGCACTGCAGCACAGATCATAGACATTTAGGAGTACGGCGAAACCCAGGAAGTTGGAACATGGATTTAGGATGATTCGTGGTAGGAGTCCCTCCAGTTTACCTTAGGGCCATGAGGATAATGATGTTCCAGCTCTCCGGCTGCGACTGTATGGGGCCTGCAATAAAATTGGTGGTATTCTGTCCGCTATTGTATTGGTCATTATTTAAGCTCCTATATTCACGGACATCTGTCGGTCAGAGAAGCGAGTCGAGCCTGGTTGCACTTTGGCCAATCTCAGAACTTACCTAAAATGGAATCAAGACTAGCAATGATACCCCTAAACCCTAACCCCTAAACCCTAAACCTTAAACCCTATACCCTAAACCCTAAACCCTAAACCCTAAGCCCCTATACTAGGGAGCTCGCATCTCGCTGGAAATTTGGGTGAAGGGGGGGTGCATACATGTCTTACCCTATGCCTCCAGGGACCTTATTATGGGGTCCTTAAGGGGTCTAGGGCCCAAACTATGAGGTCCTTGGAGGGATAGGGTTAGGGCCCGGGGATCAGGTCTTGAGCTCCAGAAACTCGCCAGAACATTCCCCCAAAAGCCCGGTTCGAGCGATTTAAGGCCCCATACTGGCCCATACTCCGAAATGTCTAAAGTATAGCAGTCTACAACCTCATCGTTCCGGCCAGGCGATGGGCGATTACCGTTAGTATTGTTGCTCAGGTAGATTACGTTGTTAGGGATTGCGGTTTTGGCGGTTATAGTCTTGGGGCTTGGGGTGTTTAAGGATACTGCTATTTAATGGTGGATCGAAGTTTGGTAACTTGAAGTAAACTCCTTAACAAGAACCCAGTCTTTATCGGCTACTCTGAGTACTGTCGATGACTCAGCCTTCCCTTTCCCTTTCTCCTTCTCCTTATTGAGTCGGCCCTCTGCCAGCTTCAGCGACGTCTTGAGTTCATGTCGGACCTGGCACCCCCAAAGACTCCAATATCCCTTAACTAAGGAATATACCTTAAATTATAGTAGGATCCCTAATCTGATTTAAGGAATATTCCCTAATTAAGGGGTATTGGAGTCTCTGGGCCCTCCAGGTTCTTCTCGCAGTCCTTGGGAGCATTGGATAGCCTGCAGAGCTCGCTTTTTTTCCTCAGGGCACACATGGCAGCTCTCATGGCTGCCCTGCGACCAGGAAAGGCCAGAAAGGCCAGAAGCAAAAGCGTGCCAGAGGCAAAAGAGTGTCCTGTAGCTTTAGATAAGCCGGTAAAGGACTTTGATAGGCCCCTAATGGTTCTGATCTTGTTGCCATGACTACTTCAGAGCCAAGAGCTCCGGTGGCCGAGGATCCGAAATAAATCAGCGATTTTTTACTCCCTCTTTGTTCCTGCATAATAGTTGGGGTATTGGGGGTACATGCTCGTAGAATTTATGAACAAATCTGCCAGAATGCAATACCTCAATTTTATATGTAGCCGCGAGCCTTGAGAAGAAAGGCCTAGAATCTGGGCCTTGGGTTGCGCAACCCCAAACCCCTGAACCCTAAAACCCTAAACAGGGACCTGTTGCTACTATTTGCTTAAGAACCCCTAAAAAATAAAAACAATATTCCTTATGGTGGTAATATAGGGATTATTATTTTTATTTTTTGGGTGTTTCTTAAGCAAAGAGTAGGTTGGGTTTCTCACTCTCCAACTGCAGCCCTCCAGCCTCACGGCATCCAGGAGGAGCTTGTGGTAGGCCACCTTTTACTTCTGTTGGGATGACCCCAAGGGTCCAAGTACACGATAATCATATACTCTCCAAAGTCCTAACCTACATAACTACTATCCCAAAACCGAGTACCTAAATATTGGGTCCTTTGGACCCTTGGGGTGAGGCAGGTGCCAGAAGCATTGTTGATGGTATTTCCCTAATAATGGGTTCAAAGGATCCAATATGTAGGTACTCGGGTGTAGAACTTTCGTTGTGTAGGGTAGCTTTTTCACAGGGACCCTTATATAGGGGGGTAGGGGGCCGTAATGCCCAGAATAAGGACCCAATAATGCCTATTTAAGAGAGTATAGTACCCTGCCCGCCTGCCCCCCTAAGGGTCCCTATGATTTCTGGGAGAGTTTACGATGGCGCCCTTAGGGTTTGCTCCTGAGACCTTGTTAGTACGGCACTCGTTACTCCCAGCTGCTTTCGCGAAACTTTAATCCCTAGCTGCAAACCGCGTGTCTTGCACTTCACAATCATCCTTATGTCTTCGGGGTTGAGGCTGTAAAGATGTAGGGCATCTGGGATGTTGGAGGTCTCTCTTATGGCGCGTTACGGTACAGGGCATGATGCTGTTGGGTCTACTTAGACTTTAAGAATTTGGGAATTTACAGTTTAAGCTTATGTAGATGTTTCACTGTCTTCATTCAAGGACTAGGTTTGAGGGGTTTTCTTCGCTAAGGTTATCTAGTCTAGTGTGCTTCGTGTAAGCCGACCCAAGCCAGGCAAACCTGAGATCAGAAATCTGAACACCCATGTCTAAGCTGTCTAACAGAAGACCACCTCTAGCAAAACAACACCTGTAACAAAAGGCCACGAACGAACCTGCATCTTGTTTCTGCGTTTGCAGTTGAAAAGAATTGGAGTCATATGCTTACATCACGGGGAGACTTTTGATTGCATTAGAAAGCAGCCGCCCAAATAGAATTGCAAGAACCCTGAACGGAAGAGTCGGCTAAGGTAGGTCCTTTAGAGTCTTAGAGATTTACAAATTTAACTGCCAGCCTCCGTGTTACACATCTCAGATGTTGAATACAAACCCAACGAGTTAAAGTCCTGAGGCCCTGTACTGTACCCCTAAACCGCCAAACTCTTCTTCCAAGCCCTAAGCTACTATTTGCTTAAGAACAACCAAAAAATAAAACATATATTCCTTATGGGGGTAATATAGGGATTATTATTTTTATTTTTTGGGGGTTTCTTAAGCAAATAGTAGTAAGCTTTCAAGCCAAACCCCGAAGCCTCAACCCCCGAACCCCCAACCCCCAAACCTACCAAGGCCCTGGCGACAAGGCTTTTCTTCATCAGGTTGCGGACCTGCAGGAGGGTTTCGCCTGTAGTGTTTGGGCTTTCCGGCTTCTTCGGTTCAGGTTTTAGGGCTTTGAGCCTTTGGGGTAAGGTTTCAGGGTTTGGGACTTGTGGGTTTACAGATTAGGGCCTTTGTTGTTCTGGGGCCTCAAAGGCCCTATCATGCAAAAGGAGGTGGGGTTCAAGAGATTACTAGTCGTATTGCAACACGGTGTTGGTGAGGGTACCTAGGGCTCCTAAAAACATGTGGCTTGTGTACCTATTGGGATACAAGTCGTAGACAACCTAATGCTGACATGAACACAAGAACCCTGCATTTGAGCACACGTGCCGCTGTGAGAGCCGGTTGCCGGAAACCCTTCACTGTGAGATCCTTATGCGTTGATTTACGGTAGCAGCCTTCATAATTTGAATATGGTTTGGGGCTATAATATGTATAATCATAATAAACCACCAAAACAGTAGAGGAAATTGTCAAGGTAGCTTCTTTCGGAGCGGAGAAACTAGAACTAAACCCTAATGCCTGGAACATATGTCTTCTGTTTCGGAGGTTGCTGCAAACTTCCTGCCTGATGCACCCCACGACATATTCACTAAAACCTCGGGTCCACCTACATTCCGAAGCACAAACCCACATGCCACCTAGAATACTTTATATAAAAAACCGCAAACACCCGACTCCTACATTCCTGTATCCCAAAAACCGCAAAGCCATCCTGAACCTCGAGCTCCCGACACCAGACCGTAAGTACAAGCCTGGAAGAGCCCTACACACACAAAAAAAAACTCAATCCGATGCCCTCCTAAACCCTGAACCATAAGCCCTAAACCCTGAACCCTAAAGCCTTTTTTGAACCATTAGTAACATCCCTGAAACCATAATCATAGGCACCGCAAGCCATCTCAAATCCCACAACCCAAACTCTCCAGAGACTCCAATATCCCCTAATTCGCCTCTATTCGGATTCCCTCTATTCCCCACCTCTTAATCCCCTCCCAGTGACCCCACACTGCCCCCCCCCCTTAAAAATGGAAACGTGTCACTGAGCTCCAAGGTACGGCGGTGAATTCTCGCCCCCTCCAACGGGTTTTTAGTTTCCACCCAATTTTCCCCGCTTCCCCCCCCCCCCCTCCCCCCCTCCCCCCCCTCCTCCCCTCCCCCCCCCCCCCTCCCGCCCCTCCTCCGCTCGTCTTTCGTTGGGATAGGCGGAGTAACGTGGTTGAAAAGGCTGTGATGCTTCCCTAATCCAAGACGCCCACGAAATCCACAGCCTCAACGGCCCATACTTAAGGCATCCCGCCGCTTGCGAGAGTCTTGGTATCCAGTGTTTCGGAATGACGACACCAAAATTCGTACTGATACTACCACTACTAATACTACTCACAATCATCCTGCTTCGTGTTGCTATGAACATTACTTTTACTATAAGTGCGATTCCAACTGTTACTTTTTTCCTACAAGAGCTTGCTGCAGATAGTAGCCACTCGCCGCATGCGCGTACAAATTAAGGAATATTCCTTAAACCATACTAGGGATCCTACTATAATTTAAGGTATATGTATTCCTTAATTAAGGGATATTGACGTCCCTTGAACCCTAAACCCTAAACCCTATATAGATCCCTTTTAGGAGCCCTTAAAGGAACCCTTGTAGATCCCTTTAAAGGAACCCCAGGAGTCTCTGGGTCCCCAAGGATCCTGTACCTGAAGCAAACCCTGGACCTGACGTCCTAATACAGGGAGAGTTTAGGGTCTATGGGTTTAGGGACCTTAGGGTTTAGGGTTTGGGGTTTAGGGTCTAGGGTTTAGGGTCCTTAGGGTTTAGGAGGGACCTTAGGGTTTAGGGTTTTGGAGGCTCTTAAAGTTAGAATAGGGTTCCTTTAAAGGGATACTATAAGGGTTACTAGTAGGGTACTGTAAGGGTAGTATAATATAGGGGCCTTAATAGTTAGAATAGGGTTCCTTTAAAGGGATACTATAAGGGTTACTAGTAGGGTACTGTAAGGGTAGTATAATATAGGGGCCTTAATAGTTAGAATAGGGTTTGGGGGCCCATTATACTGTGATTATCAATAAGGAACCCCAAAATAGTGTTGGTATTTATCTAGGCCCTTCTTGTACCCAAACTGCAGCAGTGCCAAACCCTAAAACCCTGAAGCAAGCCCTGCACCCTAGGCCCTAAAAACACATCAAAACCCTCCTGAACCCTGATAACCTTAAACCTGAGCCCAAAACAAAAAAAGCCCTAAAACACATCAAAACCCTCCTGAACCGTAAAAACCTTGAACCTGAGCCCAAAGCAAAAAAAGCCCTAAACGCCCAAATACCCCGGACCTCCCAGGCCGCTACGATCTCGGCAGATTGCCTCACCAGGGACCACAATGGAGACTAAAGGTATATATATATATATATATATATATATATATATATGCTTTAGCCCCAAACCGCCGAAGCCGAACCATCCTGCACCTCCTGAACAAAGGTGGGCTTTCGGTGGTTTCAGGTGGTCTTTAGGGCATCGGGCTTAGGGGTTTAGGAGTTTGGTGTTTACCTATAGTCTCCATTGTAGTTCCTTTTGTTGGTTAACTAATTTTATGGTTAGGATCCTATAACAGGGCTAGGTGTTGCTTTCGACCCTGGCGAAAAATTTTAGTGGTTTTTGCTGTTTTAACTGCTGTATACATAATATTGCCTGATGCAGGCAAGTTTGGGCCTTACATAGTGCTTGCAGTAACAAGGGATCCCAAATGCCAAACATAACAATCCCGTGTAAACATACCCTGAAACTTGACCCGCTCATCCCGGCTACCAACAAACACCTGAATCTGAACTTGACACGCGCTTTTTACGCAAGCGAAACTCAGTGTGCTCCATATACAAGGGCTTTAGCACTTCACGTTTGCTTCCGGCTGCGAAATAGTTCCGAATATCCATTAGAGCTGCTTTCCACATCTCCGCAACATGTAACCTCGTACTCACATACCCGTGTCACATCGAACTTTATGGGCTGACGCACATGTCGCGATGCCAATCCACATTTGTGGACGACTCACTTGCTTCGCCAGCGCCACAGCACCTGCATCGGGGAAAGATCAGGATCTAGGTTTCAACGGGCTTAGCGCTGCTTGGCTGGGGTGTTGGTTTTGGGGACTGGCGGGCGTGGGTGTGGTTGAACTTGAAATTCGGGGTTCGTGGTTTGGGGGTTGTGCTGTGGGCCGCAGGGTTCAGAGGCAAGCTTGACAAGGGGGGTGTAGGGTTTGGGGGTTCGGTTGTGTTGAGGACGTGACGTAGAGCGATGGCTTTGCGGATATGTTAGTTTGAAAACTAAAGCCGGCAACACCCCGCCAAACTCGAACGCCCGAGTCCGCAGCACAAAAGCCTTCCAATGATAGTCTGAAATCTAACCCCGATGCTTCCAAATCTTTTTAAGACGGCCCGCCGCAGTTGTATGAGACATCGCCAGAGTCACCGTGAGTCTGACGACGGGCTGCGCCAGCTCCTTCGCGTTCGCCCCTTGTCGCGAGAGTCGCGAGAGCGGGACCGCCTGCGCTCATGCCCACCACGCTGCCCAGCGCCTGCGCCATCACCATCGCGCGAGTCGCGAGAGCGGGACCGCCTGCGCTCACGCCCACCACGCTGCCCAGCGCCTGCGCCATCACCATGGTCCTGGGAAGACAACCTACTTATCATTTACATATACACATATAATATGTATATGTATATATATATATATATATATATATATATATGAATATGTGCATATTTGTTAAAAAAGACAGTGATAATAAAACATAAAATACATAGATACATCTATGTAATATGTTTCTTACAATGTAACGACAAGTGCAAGTGCACGTAGTCGTAAATCCAGTTACCATGTTGATAAACACAGTCCTCATAGTGGCCGCCTTTGGGACGACCACGCCGGCGGTAATAATCATCACGCCAACGCCAACCATCGTCATCATGGTTGCCACTCCAACTCTGCTCATGCCGGTTCCAACCTGAGTGGGATTTTGTGCTCGGAGTACGAAGACCCAGCGAATCAGCAATAAAAATAAAATTGAACTACAATGCGACGGACACTTCTTACTACAATGAACTACTGACTAGGCTACCTTCAGCCAAGAAGCTCCGATTTTTCAGCATGTCAACCCGTTCATTGATGGCAGCAGTTATCATTGCTGACGGATTGCGCCAGGCTGGAGGACGACTGCTATGGAGCATTCCTGAGTTAGTTGAGGGGGGGTTGGGAGGTAATGGTTTTAGTATTATTTGTTTGTAATAGCAGGCAAGCTGCTATCGAGCCACGCAACAATCTCCTGCGCCTTCGACACACCGCCGTCCATGCTCACCAACACCGACGCGTTCTCGGTATAGGGCCCAAGTGTATTTTTGTGCAACGTCTTTAGGGTACTAAGTTATAGCTAGGTTTGCGATTTGTGGTTCAGGGTTGAGGGCTACAGGAATGAGGGGTCTAAAGGTGTGGGTTCAGGATAGCAAATCAAAAGCCTGGGAACCACCCACACGCGTTGGTCCACCTTAAACGCGTCAAACTGGTCACAAAGCGCCGGCGCGTGCTTCAGCACCTGTGCTCGCACCTGCCACAATTCAATCAATGAAACAAGTGACTACATCAAGACTTCTTTGACTATCCCAGTAGTCTTAGATGGTTATAATCAAACCGCATCAAATCCTACAGAAAAAGAAGCACAGCATCCCATGCCTGGTCCTGCAAACCTGGTGGCGCCTGCGCCGACCCAGCTGCAGCGCTGGTGTGCGCCGACGGTGGCGTCGACGTCGCCGGCGCCTCGCTGTACTTCAGCATCCGACCCACGCGGGCCACGAGCTCCTCGATACGCTTCGCCGCATTGTCGTCGATGCAAACGTCGCCAGTGACGCTCGACCCCTTCGGATACGCCTGCGCCTGAAACAAGCCGTCATGACTTGGCAGCTCGAATTCGAAGTTGAACACCAGCGCCGTCAGCACCGCCACCGCCGCAGATCTGTGCAGGCCTTGGGAACCTGGTACAAGGATTCTACTTAATACTTCATACTGTTAGTGTGGTTTATTTGATTGAATATTAATTGCTTACATTTGTTCATGATCCTGTATGAAAACATATGACTCGGGTATGAATTAGTTAACCATCTGGGAGGACAAAACCAAAAACGCAACCGTGCCTTTTAAAAATATGTCACTCGCAACTTTCCTGAATACATATTATTGAGTCAAGATGCAGACCAGCTGCACGCACAATGGCCGTGACTCCATCGTGTCACTCGCCTGCGCCTGCAAATATGTGTACACAGCCCCCACCACCGACGCCAATGCCTTCGCAAAGCCGAGTTCGCCCATCATCGCCAGCAAAAAATCTTGGTTGTTCGCCGGGTGCCATTCGCCTGGGAGGGCAAGGGGTCTTCAATAACCCTAAAATATAATATTAATAATGCTTCAAAAGCGCCTAGGGTCAAATACAACTTGAACAGCCAAGTCTCCTTCCACCTTTTTGAACCGCCCGCGCCGCTGCCCCTCCGCCTGCCCCTCCGCCTGCCCCTCCGCCTGCGGACTCCTCATCATGTTCCTCACATCGATTGTGTAGTGAACATGGCCTGGGAACTTGCCGTAATAGAACCCCGCCATCATGTCCCGCCCCTTCTCGCCAACGCCCCCGCCGGATCCTCGGCATTTAAGGTATGTCAAGAGAGCATTTCTCACTTCTGTTTACAACACTTATTGCTTAGTACCTAAAACCATGCAGTTTATGTTTGACACTAAAAAGAAAATTTGACCGTTTTTTAAAACCTGGGCACTGTCGCCCACGATGTACTTGTGCTCAGCGCCCCACGCCACCAACACACTGTTCGCCGGCACCGGCGGCAGCGCGAATGGTATCTCGAATGGTAGCTCCATGACGAGAGAAGTCACCTACACCTACGCCTACCGCCTATGACCGCCTGTCTGGCCTATAGTAGCCTTCCCCTGCACCCACACCTACGCCTACGGCCTACGGCCACGCCTGAGCGCCTGCGGATGGGCCTACGCCTATTATTACTGAATGGCTGTGAACATGTGATTATAACTGTGAAAAAATGCAACATACACAGGACGAACAATCATCAAGCATGCTGCTACGTTATAATAGACAAATGAGCCTCATATGAAGGTGATCCAGTAACCCTATATTATATATCCTACGCAACGCGTGCCCTTGAACCTCAAAATTCAAGCGCCACTGTAAACAACTCCTCTAGCTAAACCCCAAACCTGACACTCCCTAGCCCACATGCCCTGAACGACAAGATCCAAACACCCCTGCTCCAGAAGCATCTAAAGCACGAAGTGACCTCTGGACTCTGTGGTTCACCTTTGTAGTGCCAGATCAAAGCTCTAAACCCCTAAAAACCCCCTAAATCCTCCAGTCTACAGTTTACACCACCGCATTCCAAAACATGCCCCTGCGCAACCTCCCTCTTATACGGCACCTGCGCCACGGACATCTGGCAGTGCAACTTCTGTGGCGAAGCCTGCGTGTCAGGGCAAACATACAGCGCGGGACCACTGAATTGCTTGCTCATGTCACCAGAAGAAAATGGACCTATCAAGTCCTGTCTGCCAAAGAACGATAGTGCACAGACGCTTTTTGGCCGCGAGTCCTGTTAGCTGTTGAAACATGATCCAGCAACTGCTGCATGACTATACCCTCTTCCTAAAGTACATAAGTGTCTACAACTTAGAAGAAAGACTTTGAATAATAAATCTTGCTAGACTAAGCTCATTTCAGCAGCTGGCTCCCTATGCCTTTCGGCCGTTCTACAGAGCGGAGGCTACGACAGGAGCTGGAAGCGGACACGAGATCCTTGATGAGAAACTCAGCCTCCTTGGCTTTCGCTTTCGCCTTCGCCTTCTGCTGCCTTCGCCTTCGCCTTCACCTGCGGCTGCGCCTTTCCCGTCACCTGCGCCTGCGCCTCAGCGATCTTCGCCATCTTCCACACGCCAGCCGAAGACTCACAGAGTGTCCGCAGGACCTTGGCGGACCTCGGGTGAGTCTCGCAGAAGCCCTCTGTCACGTCAAAACGTGCAGGCTGCGCCCGCGCCGCCGCCTTGTGAAACACCAACGCCTCCGAGTCGATCTTCCAGATTTCAATCCGGAAATCTTTGCGCCTCACGACAGCCTTGCCGTACGCCACCACCGCCAACGCCAGTTCCACGAAGCCAGCCCTGGGCACGTTTGTGGGAGCTCCCTTTAGCCAGCCTCTATCTTCATTTAGAACCGCACTATAGCAACAACCTGTGAAAAGAACATCTGCAGGATAGGCGTGATTGCTGTAGCTGCCCTAGCGACGGGGGTGGTGATCGGGTGG